GTGTACACTCTGTATGGAGAAGAAAATAGCTATAATCATCTTTCCAGACCAACACAAATTAGTAAATGAACGATAAGAACTCATTTCAAAATGCAGACACTAAACAAATTTTTACTACGTTTCTTAAAAATCGAAAAATGAATACCTTTTAAAATACCACCATGAAAAATGTAAATATATGCATCATTATCAGTGCAAACAATGTAACATACTAAAAGCCAATATTTTAACTAAACAAATAAGTTAACCAACCCCCGGTCCAAAAATCTAAATAAATACATTAACTCCGAATGAACACTTAAACACAAGTAAATGTAATAATAGTAATGAACAACAAATAATTAAATAATCATTAATAGATAATGATTAAAAAGGTAAAAAAATAACTGCATTCGGTTCTACAATTATTTTTACCCAATAGCCTCAAGGAAATATTTGAAACATAACCGTTACTACCCACCGAATAATCGTCAGTGTAATACAGTAGACCTTTAATACCCATAATGCAACATTGTCGATCATATAGAAATAGTTGAGCCAAAACACAACACAAATAACCTGAAGATTGCGTTGATGCATTAAACAGACTGTCACCGCTGAGTGTTGACCTCAATGCCCACTTATATATTTACATAGGTTCTATCTCTGATACAGAACACTTTTACCCAAAATATAGCATACCTTATGACTATATTTTTGTCATGTATATATATATATATATATATATGTGTGTGTGTGTGTGTGTGTGTGCGTGTGTGTGTGTGTGCGTTGACTTTATTCGACGCTTGAATATATTTTAGTTGGGTTAAAGCTTTGTGGCTAAGTCAGGTGCAAAATATAATACAAAATTTCAAATGATGATTTTCACGATATATAAGCAGACCCTATCAGGGTGTCTTCTGCTGCACAATTTTTCTCAAGTATTTTTTTCTTCGATATGCTTTTGTTGGAAAATAAGCTGTGTTCAGATTGTGTGTGTTCGTATGTCTGTGTGTGTGTGAACAATAAATAAAAGAAAGAAAGGAAGAAATTGATAAATAAAAAGTTTTTGAGGATAAGCAACAAAGATAAATGAATATCGTTGGAAAAACGAAAGAAAGAAAAAGAAAAAATTAATTGTAAGACAGAAGAAACATTTATGAGAAAAGAGAAAAAAAAGCAGAAAAGTAAAAGAAAGAAAGAAAAAAAGAAAGAAAGAAAGAAACAAAGATGGAATGTAGATAGAAAAACAATGATTGAATACAAAAAAAGAAGGAAACGAAAAATATAAAGGAATGAAATGGAAAACAAATCTTAGCATAAATAAGAAAAAGTAAAAAATGAAAAATAATTTAAAAAATAGTTTGCGAATATTAGGGAAAATATTAAATATTATTTAACCATTTTTAGACGGATCGGCCTGATGTGGTCAGATCAACACGATAATGATAAGCATATCTTTTTCTAAAACTAGATATTCATAACTAAAATATTTTCTACCATAGAGTCTAAGCATAAATCTCGCAGAATTTATACGGTATTGATGAGTTATCTTCTTTTGAGAGCTCACAAATTGAATTTAAATTCGATTTACGTTAAAACTTTCAAAATTTATAAATAAATAGTTTGGAAATGTGAAGTCGAACAAAAACATTAAAAACAGCAAAATAAATCAAAAGTGAAACAAAGACAGCAGACAAAAATATTTTTCTCTTTCTTTACTCATTTTATTCAGAAATAATAATAATAATAATAATAATAATAGTTGCCGAATACAAAGCCGTATCCTGCTCTTTGTATGATAGATTGGTTGTCTTCGCTGAGTTTAATCTTCCAATCGGTGCTTTTGTATTTGTTCACATTGCGTGCAATCCCAACTGTTGTACACATTACTAATATCCTCATCAAGGCCTCCCCGTTGTCTTCTTTTGGGGACAACCGGCGTAGGGCCAAGACCTTAGCAATAAAAAGTTGTCCAACTGGGCGATTATTTTCAATATAACTTTCGTTGCCTTTTTCTTTTGTAATTACCAAAACAACACACTCTTTATCTTATTTTGTCCTTACAACAATCAATGTTTAATAAGAGAAAAGCGGAAGGGACGCTAGAGTCGAGGCTTTTTAAGCAAAAGTGGCCTTCACTTTTGTTGAATTGATCAGCAGATGACTGTAGCTTGTAATATTTGGAAAAAAAAGTGAAAGAAAAGTCACCTGGTCATGAACAGGTTATGAATGTACTTTTTATTAAAGTCAACCGGTAAACTTGTTGACAAAGCAATTCAAGATATTGAAACTATTGGACAAATATTTGTACAGATTTAGAAAATGATATTTGTCATGACGATTAATAAAAAATAGGATTCTGCATCATCTTAAAATTGATATCATCATCCTTTAGTCAAGTACTTGCCATAACACTGCCATTGAAGTTTTAGATCAATTCGCATCTAATGATTTCTTGCTAATAACCGAGCACTGGGTCATGCTAACAAGATAAGCTTTTTAATTCATTCGTGTGTGCTTAACTATCACAGTGTGCGCTTCATTAATTTGGCCTTGTGTCAGCCTAAACTAAGCTGCGTAAATATATAGACGTGACCTGTGTCTCATGCAGAGATAATATTACGTATTTTCCAGCAGTTCCGATGCTTGGCGTTCAAACCTAAGTAAAATCCATGATTTTGAATGCTGATTTATAAAATACAGTTCAATCTTTACGTCTGTATTTCATCCTGTTTAGCCTTGTAATAAACCAATAAAGACTAGCGAATTTGCCTGAATTAACTAAAATTTATTACAAAACTGTTTCAAAAACCTTCAGCCCAAAACACTTAATATCCTATCGTAAAAGGCTAAAATTATAATTAAACGTAAGACACTCAGATATCTCATTTTAATGGGTTATAATTAATAAAAATTTTTTTAATGGCCTGTGTTAATAGCTGTAATTACAGGTAATAATGAAACATTTAATAGCTCATTTTATGGGTTGTAATTACAATGTATAATAAAAACCTTAAAAACCTTAAGCTAATCAGTCTATATATTCTTCATTAATAATAAAAGTCTTAAAGGCTTAATTTAATGGGTTATAATTATAAATAATATTAAAACAATTAATAGTTCATTTTAGTGGTTTATGAGTATAATTAATAATACAAATACTTAATAGATGATCTTAACTAGCTAAAATTATAATTAATAGTAAAAACACTTAATAGCCCATCCAACACACGCGCTATGCGTAACTCAAATTTGGAAAACTTATTTAATTTCCAAACTTTAGAATGAAATTTTGGAAATTTAATATAACATCAATTTACTTAGGAAATATTTTTGAGATTCTATTAAATTTAGCTGTTAGTGATGTACAGAAAGTTACAGAAAGAGATTTTTTTCCTTCCTTACTGGTCAGTGGCAATGCCGTGTTGGTTAATGTGCTTCTTTTTATACGGAACCTATTTGTCGATGTCGAATTTTCAATAGACTTTTTTCAAATTTAAAATGTGATTGGGATGTTTTAAAATAATCTTTTATCTCAGTTTTAATTTTCATTCGTTTTTGTAATGCCCGGGTTGTTATTTTTTAGCCACCGTTGTTCGCAAGAAACCCATTTGGGAGAAGAAAAGCAGTTATTTACTGTTGATCACAAAACAAAACATGTGTGAAAATTCATTTCGGCGTCGTAATAGGTTTGATTTAAACGCAATTTGTTTTCTACAGCAACTGCGTCTTTGCTGGCCGAGTCGGGAGATCACACAGAAGCTGATTTGAAAAGCAATGAATATTTCTATGCCAAAGGCAAAAACTCACAATTCTAACATTACGTTCATGAAATTGCTAATGGAAGTTCATGCGAATTCAATAAAAAAAAATTTTTAGGTTCCAAATTCGACAAAAAATATACCTGAAAAAAAGAAAGGATGCTATTTCTTGAGAACCTTGCAAAATGTGGAAATAAACAATGTGTGTGTATTTTTATTGCTTTCTTTTCTTTTCTTTTGGAGCGACTATATTTTGAGCGCTTCTTTTTAAAGTTAAACATCGAAGGTTCGTTTCGCAGTCAGAGGATGATAATAGCTACAGTTGTAGAATTTACGTGCATTTTGTAAATCTTTACTTTTTAATTGTATAGAATTTATTAAATCGCCAACCATTGGAGATCCTATTCCCCGTTAACTAATATTCACTGATATAATTCATGAATCTTACCAAGCGACTTGTTTTAATTTTTTCCGTTTCTCAGAATAAATGACTATTTAGTCAAAGATATAACCTAGTAAAATTGTTTCTGATGCACTAGTATAGACATTCTTATATTCTTGCATTTTAAACATTTTTATTTTCTACAGTTTGGAAGTTAATTTGAAAAGTTAAAAGACTGTACACCACTAAGCGCTTTTATAAGCAATGGATTCCACTGGAAATAACTTGGCGTAGATGTTATTAAGATGTGATAATTTATTTAAAAATTACCTTTAATGAACAAATTCTAGAAAATCAATCATAAGTGAGACACGAAGGACAAAGGCAAATGTTAAAAAAGACATGGATTAGAAAGAAAGAAAAGAAGAAAAGTGATAAAAAATGATTTTAAAAAAGTGGGGAAAACGAGAAACTATTGTTTTTAATGCTTTATAGAAATCACAGTTTATATTTCATTTGTTTCTATGTATTCAAATTTCAGTTGTTCTGAAAGCTGATTATCTATTTGATGTTTTGAATGACTTTTAAGACTTTAAACTGAATATTGTTTATTGGGACTCTCTCTCTCTCTCTCTCTCTCTCTTAATGAAATTCAGAAAGGCATAAACAGATTGAGATAAATAGACAATATTCAGATAGACGAATGCATGTGAATAGAATGAATAGATATTCATATCTATCTATCTATCTATCTATCTATCTATCTATCTTAAATATCAGTTAAATATTAAATATCATCTCATTCTGTTAATCTCTATGTTTGAGTGAAATAAATATACACTTAAGTATGAACAGACTTATATACTGAAACAAAATCAACATTCATCAGGGATGTGGAAGAGTAGTGGCGATAGAAAGAGATGGAGAGAGAAAACAAGAGAAAGAAAATAATCAAGGAAATATTTTTTAAAAGAGAGAAAACTGTCTACAACCACAACTCAGATGAAAAATGAACTTACAAAAGGAAAGGATTCTTATTTGTGGAGGAAGTGGAGAAATGGGGCGAATTTTGACAAGAATCGATGAGGTCTTTGACTAGAGAGACAGAGAGATGCACAACTGACTTGGTAAGGGGGTGCACTATTTAATACAGAGCTATTTGTAACATATGTTATTCGCAAAGAAGGTGGGGTTGGTGTTGATAACAGATCGTGGAAAGAGGGATGTTTTCTGCAGAGATATATAAGCAAGTAATTTTGCTAATGGATATGAAGTCTGTTTATTTTGTTAGGCATAATTTACTTAATTTTGTGTTCGGTAGTTGTTGTTATTATTATTATTATTTTCTTTCATAGGATGTTTTTTGTCTGTTTCTTTACCTTTTCTTTTCTTACAGGAGGATACAAAATTGGATTCTCATTTATTTATTTTCAAAACCATCATTCCCGTGTAGAGTGCTTGAACCTGCGACCTCCGGTAGGCAGGGGTCAGTTATCCTATTATTTTTATTTGCATTCAGACTTCAAGTTTCGCATCGAAATAGAGAGAAAGAGATGATTGAACACCAAATCTGCGGAATATCTCACCCTCATCCCGAAAACAGTGACCCCAACATACACACCAAAATATTAATGGCACTAATAATAATAATAATAATAATAATAAAGAGCATGAAGAGAATCATCGTTATTTCGATGAAGAAGAAATAAAGGTATTACAAAAAGAAGTGTAAAAGAAAAAATAAAAAGAAGGAAATTTGAAAAAGAACAAGAACGAAAAAGTAAAGAAGAAAAAACCGAATGACTGAAAAAGAAAATCTCCATATCAGTTAATATAAAATGAAAAAATGAAAGAGATGGAAAGATAAGAAGACAATTGTTTCAAAGAAAGAAAGAAAGGACGTACAAAGAACTTTTCGAATTGATCAAATTAAAAGGCAAAAATAGAAAAGGTAAACAAAAACGGGAAAAATAAGGGGAGATAAATCAATCTAAGGTAGTGGAGACTATGACTGGGACCGGATGTTGTGTTGAATAGCAGTCCAAACAAGAAGTGGAACTGAGAAAAATTTAAGACGGTAAAAGAAAGATGACAAAAAAGAAAGGAAGGAGGAATTAAAGGATAAAAGGCAAGACTAAAAAGAAAAACTTTCAAAAAGGTAAATAAAAATAACATAAAAAGAACACACACACACACACACACACACACACACACACACACACACACACACACACACACACACACATATATATATATATATATATATATATATATATATATATATATATCGCATATATACCAGGTGTAACAGCAAAATTGTCCATATCTTGTAAAAGCAAAATTGTCCATTTTTCTAAATTAAGATCTGGGCCATTGTATCATAGAAATGATTAAAGATATCTTACACGAATTCTCCGTTATTTTTATAACACTATTGGACTCTGATTTGAAAAATAAATATTTATAATTACTCTCCAAGCTTAACAGAAGAATCGTGATGAAATCGATCATAAACGAAAATAGCATGTTCATCATTAATTGATAAAGCTAAGGATTAGAAGCTCATGAAGGACTGAAATAAAGTTCAAAATATATATATATATATATATATATATATATATATATATATATATATATATATTGCAGGATCATTTTCCAACATTTAAGATGATCTTCGCCTTCTCTAAACCTTCTAACTTTCTATCTTGAAGTAACAAGGTGTCTTACAGGTTTCACGTACGATTTCATTTTCAAGTCTTTTTTCACTGCTCTGGACTGTCATAACTGAAACTCTTCTCTCACGCGCCAAACATCTTATGGATTGATTTAGATCTGTTCTAATTGATCTCTATAACTCTAAGTTGAAATGATGATCCCTCTTTCTTTTGTGACCTCCTGATCCAGTTTTCATCCATACGCTTACGACAAATGGTGTCAAGATAGCTAAACTTGATTTCTGAAAATCTGGGAAAAGAAACTCAATTAGTGTCGTGTTTTATTTTTAGATATTAAACATTTTGTGGGATGGACAATTATGCTGTTACACGATTTGGATAATTTTACAGTTACATATATACACTGAAGAGTATATATAGAGAATCATATATCACAGCTCTTCAGTATATAAATATTTGACATCAGTCGGAGATTCTTACTCCCAGTCTATCGGCGCACGCTACAGAGAAGTATAATTTTTAACGCATTATTCACCAAACAAGGAGAGCGTCCAGAAGCTTTGAAGGAGATTCCAAAGTTGTCTGGAGGCGGAGGTTGAAGCTAATGGCAGTTTTATTGAAAAAAATTACTCTCTAGTATTATAAGATAATTTTGTGTAATTTTGGTAAATATATATGTTAGTTTGGGTAAATATATATG